GCATTTTTATTATCACTTTCCAGATTATTCCACAATCTTATTCCTTGAACAGAAATACATTAGTCCTTCAAGTTTGTTTGAATTTTAGCTTTCATAAACATCTCAAGTCCTTCAAGATTATAAGATCTTTCTCTCTTAACAAAATATAACTGGATGTTTAAAGGTAAAAAAAATATGAGCCTTACACAAAAGAGAGTGGAATAAATGGGTGGAATAAAGTAATTTCACTTGTAATTATAAATTAGCATGCAGAACATGAATGAATGATACTTGAAATAAAATGGTGTATGATTTATTGCAGTCCAAGCAGTCCTTTGTGATATTKATATTTAAATYTGTGATATATTGTGCAGGCCTAGTTCTGATATTGTTTTTTTTTTWATATTGTTAGCTGTAATTAGTTCTCTCATGCATAAAAATATCATGTAACTAAGTAAGTAGGCGGGATTTAAAGCCTCACATTGTTGGTCTCTGGAAGCGAAAGATTCTGGCTGGCCTCAGTTTTAAACAAGAGAATGAGGGGTTATTTAGTCCAGTAAAGGTTTATGTTCTCAAAGACAGCTCAGTCCCTTTTTGTCTTTCAATCTATGAAACTAGTTCAGACAGAAAAACAGATTTTAGCACCAACAAGGTAAATCCTTTGACGTTTTTGAGTTTTCATTTCTTATTTATACCCAGCAGTTATCCACTTCTCATTTTTTCCAAAGACACACCACACAAAATGCTGTCAGCTGCTGGGCTAAAACTGAATAAAAAGCAGCAAAATCTAAAGAAAAACTCTGAAAGACCTTCAACYAGCTTACAGCACTATTGATCAAGACCACTTTAAAAGGTCAGGCTCATTAAAAGCAAAAGGTTAAGAAAGTAGGAGGGGTATAAAACTATTGCTCCCTACTGTGTATTGTTATGAGTCATTCATAAAGTCCGTCATTTAATAATTTTATAAATTGTTTAGATGTAAAAATTGTCTTTGTGCTACACAGATAAAGCCCGGGATCATTTTGTGCACAGGTTTTAACCACTTTCCTGTCCTGTTAATCGTCTCATGACCTTTTAGATTTATCTCACAATGAGCCTGCAGTTTGGAACCACTCTTACTGTAATTAAACATGACTGTTGTGTCCGTGCTGCAGCTGTGCACCTGTAGGGGCTGCTGTGGTGTCACTGTTACTTGTGCGTGGCTCCAAACAGAGAAATAAAAGCCTTGACGTTGTTACAGTAGCTGCAGCATTCGTTTAAAAAATATTTAAACATTATAATAGAAAATAAAATCCACCAACACCTGGTTTTCTTTGCCCAGACTTTAAGCAGGAAACTATATAGTTGAGGCGAGTCACCTTTAAATAGCTTAAAAACTGCCAAAACGTTTAGCATGAGTGCTAAGTTTTAGGGTCATTACAGGGGATGTAATTATTTTTCTTTTTTCCTCACAATATTTCTGCAACAATGTTATGCCCTTGAAACAGATGGAGTTCATTTTAAAAAGGCAAACTTTAAAGATGGACTCAAGCCTTTCTCTGACGACGCTGCTTGCTTATTTCATGGATGAAGAATAGTAAACAGGGGCTACAATAAATAATTGATGCCTAATAAGTCAAGGGAGAATACAYCAGGCTTTTTTTATTTTCAGGCCAAGAATAGAGAAGCCTCCTGAGTTGTTTATTTCCTCCATCCTTTCTTTCTTTTCATGTCCTTCTCATTTTACGAGCCATGAGTCAACACAGCACACGTAAATGATATTTTGACATAGAGATCCATGAATAATGTATTTGAATTTACTTTTATGCCAGCGTCAGATCCCTCTCAGCAGCCTCCCCCCGCCCCTCCTCGTCCCACCTTTTTGCCCTTTTCTGTTCTCCCAGTTTTCACCCTTCCCCTCGGTCCCAACACCCTTTCTTCTTCATCCCACCCTTTTTTTTTTTGTTTCCTTGTCTTTTTTGTGTTCATCCTGTTGTTGTTGTTCTTCTTCTTCTTCTTCTCTCTCTCTCTGCTTTCTCCTCAGACATCAGACCGGAAATGATGTGAGATCTTTTTAAAGCTGAACYTCAACCACATCAGTGTTTCCTGGCCAGGTTCAGTGCAGTTGGTTACTCCCAGGTAAAGTCATTAACTACCTGTGAGTTTGAAAACTGGGACAGATGGAGAAAAACAGTAGTGAGGTTAAAAAAAAAAGTCTAAGAAGCTGATTTATACCAACCAAGTGAGGAACAAAGAGGGGGAAAAAAGTGCAGTATCATGTTGAGTGAGACTTAAAGAAACCAACCATTTCTCCAGTGGAGCTTTTGTACAAAAAATTCTTTATTCCACCCATTTAGAGCTTTAAGATCAGCAAAGCCCTGATTTGATTCAGTGTTTAAATGAATCATTCATAACTTGACCTGTTCCCTTGTAGTCATCAGCAGCCGAAAGACCTTATGATTGGCAGCAGTCATTCTCCTCTGCCTCTCTCTAGACGTTTAGCCCTCGGAGTGAGCTGGTATACACAGCCCGCTTCTCAAAATACATGAAAAACATTTATTTTCCTGTTAAATAAGTTGCATTTAGCAAACAAACAAAGTTATGTTCATGTTCAGTGTTTGGCACACTGAACTCACTTCCTCTTCAATTTCAAATCTTTAGCCGCCTGACTGAGGGTCCAGGTGGGCWCTGGAGTCACTTTTGTTTTTTGTAATTTTATTCAAGACTTCCAGATAATATATAAATGAAAAGCGAGCTAGAGAAATTGCATTTTCTGCAAGTGCTGAATGACTGCTGAAATGTGCTGAAGAAGGTGAAAAGTTAAAAAAGCAAAACACTGCAAAAATCAAAAGTATCCATTTGGCTAAAAACAAAATGTAGCTAAAGGCAGGCTAAAAGCTAAAAGTATCAGTGCTAGCTAAAAGATAAAAACAGCAAAATGCTATCTAAGTGTAGAAAAACATTAGCTAAACCTTAGCAAAACATTAGCTAAACCTTAGCAAAATGCTCACTAAAAATAGCAAACGGGTAGTAAAAGGCTGAAAACTAAAAGTGGCACAAAAAGACAAAATGCATTTCTATGGACAACATCGATAAATTAGACTGGACAAAACTGTACAAACATAAAGAAAAGGAAAACTTGAAAGCTGAATTCCAAAGAATTATTATTACACAATAAAACACAAAGACAGAAAAACGTGTGTGATTCAGCAGCTACAGGACARTCCCTGCACAACAACTTTAAACATGTAAAGTTGTCTCTAACTTTACAACTAGAGACTTCCAGTTTTGTGCACATTGGTTCCAAAATGTTGGGAACCCTCTGTTCCACACTGTAAGGTAAAGTAAAACCAAACACTGGCTGCAGCTTTTAATCTACTTACGTTACACCGCTGAGTAACACAGTCCTCCTCATCAGTCTGGTGTGAATCCCTTCAGCCAACAGCGTCGCATCGAAGGAATCAAGGATGAATAATCTGCATCACCCTCTTCGTCCTCAAAGTGGTTCTTCATTCATAATTCACAACCAGCCGCACCATTACATCTGATGAAAGCCACTGACCTGAAAACACAAAAGGAATGAGCTCCTTCAGATGTGGAGGTAACACTGTATATATTCATGCCACATGTGCACGTCGTTAGCAGCAAACATCAATAAATGAGTGTAATCCCAACGCAATGATCTGATGACCTTTGTGCCTGTGCACGTGGGAACATGACACTGACGTTGTGTCTTTCTTTGAGACACAAACTCAAATGGAACGAGTGTTTAAAGTTTCTTGAAAATCCTGTGAAGATTAAAGGCCTACCATTCATTAAATGAAGGATTATCACCCACCACTGAGTTTTTAAAGAAAATCATCTTCTGATGAAAAAGGGACAGTTATAAACATCTACAAATGAAGCTACGAGTTTGTGATATGATGACATATTATGAGATGCATTATTGTTCTGAGTATTTTGGGGGGATGACTGTCAACTACTACTTCAGTATCTGTACATTTGGTGAAGTTGCAGTCCTTTTTGTTTACTTTTAGGTTGTTTTCCTGTGGCTAATTGKGTTGACTCTATTTCTTAAAGGAGAGGTACGTTTTAAATTCCTCTTTATTTTACATTTATTTCATTCAGTTGGAGTCTATATAAAATGATACTGCAATGCTTTGGTCTGAATTCCTTCTTATTGTAGCTTCACAAGTTTTTTTTTACTCCTTTCCTGAGTTGTGTCTCAGAACAACTCATTTTGAGGCTGTCTCTTTCAATGCWAACAAGGCACTTCACACTTCGCYCCTCCTCCAGCTTTCAGAGTGGTCAATTAGTGTTTGATAGAGGGATTTATGACTATATAGCAGCACAGAATTTTATTTTTGTACATATCAATTAAAATATGTCAACAACAGAAGACTTGTCCATCCAGCCTTCCATGTTAGAGCCACATGTTGTGATCAGACAGACAGTGCTGATCAACAGTTAATGCCAATGTTTTAAGCAAAAATCTAGTGCAGAATTCAGAGTATGTGTTGAGGATGATGCTCAGCTACTACCACACCAAATTTTAGCTCAATATCTTTAAAATCAGCTGAATTATAGACATTTGTGTTTGCTACAGTCAGGTGGAGGGGGTGGCCATCTTGAACTGGGTTGACTWGAACTGCTAACCAGTTCTAGATGCTCATCGAATATTTTTTTTTAAGTTTAAATTCCAATGTGTCTGCTTGTAAATATGATAACTTTTGGCGAAGGGTTTTAACAAGAAGACGTATTTATTCTATTTGCAGCACTACGTGTGATGTCCTGTAAATGTGGGAACTGATTCGCCTTAAAAACAACTCTTCGGGGGGTTATGCCCACAGTGAGAAATGCAGAGTTAATGTAACTCTTTTTCCTCGCCGTAAACAGCATTGTTCTAAAAACACAAGTGAAAGATTTACACAAGTTCTTGGTAAAATACTGAAAACAGTTTTAAGAGAAATAATTTTCTAGGGCAGCCACAAGTAATAAAATTTTCATGGCACAGAGTTTGAGCTGTTTTTCCTCTTTTCTTGTAAAACATGGATCAGTTTACATGTTAAATATAGGGCTTGTTTAATCACAGTTTAATGTATTAGTCACTGTGTTGGCCTCGGGCAGTTGGGCTGCGTTCACAGCAAATTATTTTCTGTTTTCTTAAAGCTTCCACTTCCCTTCAAGCCCATTCTCCTGACTGCATTTCATGTAGTTAAAGCGTAGATTTCACCGAGGTAAGTCAGTCTCAGAGCACCTCCCCCAAATAGTTGAAAAGTAAAGCAAAAAGAGGAACTCCAACTGTGTTTAGACTGTACCCTTCCTGTATCTGAATGACAATTGGAGTTTATCATGAAAATCAGTGACTTCAGCTCACCACATGACTCATCTGGGATTGTGAGTCATATTCTACCTGAGCTTGACGAGAACCCCAGCTTTACCGGGGAAACGTTTTAGTTTTTACCACCGCAGCGTGCCTCAGACTACAGACAAGTCCAAAACTGGGACAATCTCACTTTTTGTTGAGCTGCAGAATGGATTTTCAAAAGGCAGATAAGATAAACAATCTTATTTGCTTTGAGAACTTGAGGTTGCTGACCTCTTCAATTTAGCAGTCTCTTTATTATCTCATATATGTATATATATATTTTAAATGCCTGACAAGTTGCGATTAAATAACCTCTTTTTAATTATGCTGCCTTGTTGTGTGTTGATGCCAAAGTGTAAACATGAAGGGACAAAAAACCTTCAGCTCAGACTTGATTAAGAAAACTCCATCTCAAGCTGCAACCTCTCTCTCTGAAAATGGGTGCATCTGTGCCATTATACTGTAGGGGAATAATTGGAGCCACTTTTTTTCTGCATGCAATTAGTATCTTTTCATCAAAGTTGTCAGTCAGATAAAGAATGGGAACAGACACAACCTTTGCTATTTCAAGCTTTCTGTGTTAGGTTTCTTTCAGAATCTTTTTTTTTCAACAAATTAAACATCTTCCTCTGGACTTGCTTCACATCATTTATGCTGACCTTATAACTGAGACACAACCTGTGCTGCACGTTAAAGCACTTTGTGGCTGTCTGTGTTGTTTTAAACACTAGTGTTTTAAGACATCACACTTAAAGAAAGTCATTTTCAAATTAGCATAAAAGCAGGTTGTTTTGCAGCTAATGTAAAATGTGTTGTTACAGTCAGATAGAGAATTAGCAGGACTTTAAAGCAGAAATGTTTAAATGCAGTACGTGTTTTTCTTTTGTACTAGTGCACCAGTTAATAACAATTACAGTGCTCTGTTTTTTTAAAGAAACAACACAATTCAATAAATTGATTTGACAGATTCAGTTTTATGTGAACATTCTGTTTATTGAAATGAGCCACTGAAACATGTTTTCCGTCATCAGAAAGTGTGATAAGTCATGGAAAAGTTGTGTTTTCGAGAATGATAAAGCGTGTTGCAACAAAACACAGCGCAAAGACATCACCTGAAAGAATGTCAGACTCCATCTTGAGCATCTGAACTTTTTCCTGTTTATTGAAAGGTGTGAACTTGAATGATAAAAGATAAATATTTTCAGTGGCCCCTGCTATAGGGCAATATTGTTTTTAGTTTTATGATTTGGACAAAAAAGAGTGTTTTTCCAACAAATAATGATAGACCTTCAAGGAATGGTAAACCTTCTTATTTTATTGATGAAGTTCTTTGCTTAAAAAAATTGGTTATCATAAAAGCTATAGAAGATGCAACAAGGTTGTAGTTGCATGTTTTTATCGTAGAACAAGAATGCCTCCCTTCATGATCATGTGATTCTAAGTTTTTCTTATATCTATTCTGTGAAAAAATGACAAAARTAGCATACATTGAAAGAATTATGCTATGCTAATTCGAAATTGTGTGTTAATGTTTATTAAGTTCTGATTTACAGATGACAGAGTAAATTGTAACTGGTTTAACAATTTGTAAGAAGACTTAGTAACAGGACTGGATACGCTACTGCTTCTTCCTGTTCCCTTTTCGAACATGAGTTTTGTTTTACATTATATTTTAATGGAAATTATATGTTGTAGTTAATGCTTTATTATTTTATTGGTTGTTGTGTTTTTCTCTCTGTATTTGTTACATGTATGTATATGTATGTTTTATTGCCGAATTTTAAAGGTTTTGTGTTATTTGTTAAACCTTGAAGTGTGTAAAAAGGTTGACTCTCAGCTACTACCGTAGCTCACAGTTTGTAAAATTTACATTTGAGCTTTTTTGTCTTTCCTAAAGTTGGCAAGCTGTTGCAGCTCAGTTCTTTTTAAATATTAAGCTATAAATTTGTGAAGCGGTAACTGAGAGTCATTCCCAACGCATACTCAGAGGGCTAACGGGTCGTATGAGCACTTTTACACTTTTGCATTCAATGTGCATTTCAGTTTGAGCCCCACCCCCTATCTCCATCACTTCCTGATAAAATTAATCCTTGTATAGTTTTGGAAAACAAATTAAAGCAATTTTTTGCTTTCCTTTAAAAACCATTTGAATCCTGTTAGGAGTTTTAGTGTCTCGGTTCACCACTTCCTCTGTGACTCCTCTGATTTGTTGTGTGGAGTGCCCAAGGGTTCTGTGTTGGGACCTATTCTATTTTTGTAATACGTCCTTCCACTCGGTTATATTTTTCAGGAGTTTGATGATGTTTCTCATCATCTTTTTGCAGATGGTATCCAGCTGTATTGCTCCTTTAAGTCCACTGAGATTCACAAACTGGACTCTTTAAAGAACTGCCTTGTTAAAATTAAACATTGGCTTGGCGCTAATTCTTTGCAGTTAAACTCTGATAAGACTCAGCTACTGGTGGTTGCTAATGATGTAGTTGTTCCAAGAATTTACCAGTATTTGGGTGACCTGAGCTCATCTGCTAAATCAAACCTTAGACATCTTTGTGTGATTTTTGACACAGGGATGTCACCTGAACACTATTCTACGCAACTCACTACAAACAGACCCAAACCAGTGGTTATTCCGTATGTTGCGGGTGTTTCGGAGAAACTGAGACATTTATTTTCTAAACATGATGTCCCAGTGGCTTTCAAACCCCAAAACACATTACAGCAAAGGCTGGTTCACCCCAAAGATCCGGTGCCCCGGCACAAACAGAGCAATGTTGTATATGCTGTTAAGTGCCAGGAGGACTGCGACCAGTTATACATCGGGGAAACAAAGCAGCCACTGTTCAAAAGAATGTCCCAACACAGACGAGCTACATCTAATGGCCAGAACTCTGCAGTTTTCACTCATTTACAGGCCAGCGGTCACTCTTTCAGAGATGAGGATGTTCTCATTCTTGATAGAGAGGAACGTTGGTTTGAGAGAGGAGTAAAAGAAGCCATTTTTGTGAAGAAAGACCGTCCGTCATTAAACAGAGGTGGAGGCCTCCGTTTTCAGTTGTCCCCCTCCTACAGCGCGGCTATTGCCAGTATCACTCCACCCCCTGTTAACAATAAGTGTTAATTAAGTGTCAACGATAGCCATGTGATGTGAGTATCAGTCACATGGAGGCAGGGCTTAAAAGTCTGAATTTTGCCTG